GAGCCCCGGGGCTACGCTGCGGCGCCAGGTGCGCCGCCTCCGGGCGCCGAGCGCTGCCCGCGTGCCTGGCCTCTCTGCTCGGCGTTTGGGGCTCCCAGCCCTGTTGATACTTCTGTGCCAGTGGAAAAAAAATATACTTCAGACACTTGAGACGCTACCACGTGCCTGAAATATGTAGGTCACTTCCAGAGACCCTGGCGCCCTTAGCAAGGGAGGCAGGATCGGCGAGTCCCGGTGCCTTTTCCGCGCCTCCCGTTGCCCCGGGACGGAGGTGCCACCGCTCCAGGCCCTCAGAAGCGTGTACAGGCAGAGGTGCGTGTGGGCACGAGTGAGGTGCCCTAGGCCTAGCTGGCTCTGCGGGGATGGGGACGCCCGCCGGGCAGGAGCGCGGCGCCGGCTGCGAGGTGGCACTGGGCGTCCTGAGCACGGCCGCTCCGGGGCAGACGGGGAGCCGGTAAGGGCGCCAGGAGAGGTGGTCAGAGCCTGGTGAAACGTCTCTGCCCTCCGCACCGCGTCCCACAAACAGGAGCTTTGCGTTCCCGGCCGCTGAGCCAGGGTGTCTGTGTCTGTGGGAAGTCTCCAGTTCCCACGAGCACGGGCTTTGGGTGTCTTCTCCGGTTCGGATGCTTCTGAGATTATGAGGAACCTGAGGAGGGTAGCTTTGGCTCATCTTCCCGGCCTGTTTGGCTTTTGCTATGGGCTCTTTCCTCAACACCTTGCCAGACCTGGTTTCACGTGGCACCCTGTGTACCTGGATCGGCAGAGTTGGAGAGGTCCTCTAGCACCGGAGCCGCTTGAGATTCCCCCACTGAAGAAGCAGGAGGTTTCACACCTCCGTGGCCCCAGTCCTTTTGGCCCTGAGCTGCTGTTGAGGAGGGAGGGGTTGAGGGAGCAGAGTGAGAAGGCCACCACGTAGCTGTTGACGGTCCTGCCAAGAGGAGGCCTCCACAGCAAGGAGCACAAGAGCAGAGGAGGTGGTTGGATAGAAGCAGCGAGATGTCGAGAGAAGGCCGGGCCTCCAAGACTGCCGCAGGCCGCATGGGAACAGGCGCCGGGGGAGTCGGTGGAGCAGAGCTGGTTGCTGTCGCTGTTTGGAAGCCCGAGGAACCGCCGCAGGGTGAGAAGCTGAGAGGTGCAGCCAGACCTGCAGCCTCGTGTTGGAAACGGGTGGGAAATCGGCATGCAAATAGCAGGTTTCCACCCTGGTCTGCAGATGGAGTTGAACCACGGGCCGCTCCTCTGCGCTGAGCGGGTTGCGTGGTCCTGGAGTGGGGAAGCTGCAGCCAAGGAGGGAGCCAGAGTTGGGCTCCAGACCCTGTTTCAGCGCATACCTTTAACCTCTCTGCAGGCAGACAGCAGGCCGGCTGCTCTTGCCCTCTCTGCCCGCCGTTCCCGTGGTCGCCGAGGCTTTGACATGGTGTCAGGATTGTCCGGGGCCCGTTCCCACCGGCAGCGCCCTCTCACCCAACTGTTTGCTTGCTGATGAGGCTTTTAATGCAAACGCATGCAGCTGATGAAGGGACATGGTGATTACCAACGGTGCTTTGGATTGACCCGGACTGCTCCTGAAGGTCACGTGCCTCGTGGCCACGTGTGCGTCTCCTCTCGAAGGCCCAGCTCCTGCTGCGGGCGCGCTGCGCGGCCAGGGCTGAGCTGGTGAGCAGGCTCTGAAAAAAAAGGGTTTGTCGGTCATCTCTCCGCTCGCCGTTGCAGGGGGAGCCAGGGACCCTGCTTCGTTTTGGTGCCAGCCCCAGCAGCCACCGCTTTGCGGGGCCTCTCCCATGGGCCACGTACGTCTGACGTGTGGAGGAAAAGGCACCTTTCCCAGCTGGAGGTCTGGCCTGCTGGCAGCGGAGGAAGTGGGGCAGCGTGGTCTCCTGGTGGTCATGCGCAGCATCCGGGTGGGAGGATGCGCTGACAACTGCAAAAGGGATGCTGTGCGTTGACGGTACCACCCGCGTGGCTCGCAGGACTCCAAGGCAACCTGGTCACCTGTGAGCAGGCGCGCACACGTGCGCGTGGTTAGAGACTAGTGCCTTGATCTGGTTTTGTGTGGGATGGCAGAGGCATCGTTCTCAACACCTTAGCCCTGAAGTGACAGCGAGCCCCAAAGAGGCTGTTCTGCAGTCCTGGACCGTGAGCCTAGCGTTGCTTTTGTAACGCCTCGTGTTTTCTTTCTTCTCCTTGCAGAACAGCTCGTGTTGGGAGCGCACAAAGAGCTGTCCCGGCGCTGGGATGCGGACTACGATGCCTTTGTGTTGCCCCTGCTGGATGAGCAGCAGCCCTGTTACATCCTGTACCGCCTGGACAGCCAGAACGCCCAGGGCTACGAGTGGCTCTTCATCTCTTGGTCCCCTGACAACTCCCCGGTAAGCTCCGCTCTCCTTGCGCTCCCCTTTCCGCTCTGCGCGGGGCTGGGGAGGAGGAGGGCTTCCCACCGCCAGCCTGGGAGCGAGCGGGAGGACGCAGGGGTGCTCGCAGGGAAGACCTAGCTGGAGACACACTGTGAAGGAGACATAAGCTAAGTCAGCAGCTTTGCACCGAGCCAGAGGAGGAGTGTTCACGCTATTACTGTTCCCTGACTAAGAAGTGAAGACCGCTTTGGGGATGGGAGAAGGTTTTAAGACACAGTAACAGATGTACCAGAACTTGCCTCGTTGTCCTCTTTGCAGCACTGTTTCAAGGTAACTTCCTGCAGGTTTGTTTAGGAAAGCCGGTAGGGTATCTACGTGCTCTGTGGCACTGTTTATTTAGGCTTGTTCTGGAATCGGAGCACCGGGCAAGCACAGCTGCTTTATAGCCTGGTCTTGTCCTGCCTGCTGTGAAAGCACACGGCAGGTCCTGGCAGGAGCCAGGACTGGGCTAGAGACGGGGAAACTGGAACGGGCCAAGAGATCATCCTCTTAAAAAGGCCGTGCAGATCTGCTTCCCTCAGAAAAGATGTGCAACTTCAGACCGGCACTGACACCTGGTGGTTGTTGGGTTAGCGTTGGTGTTTCTGTAGCGTGTAACGGCATCTCTAACATACCTCGTTTAGCTCTAAGTTACCATGAGAGAGAGTTTTCTCTTTCCCTTCGGCAGGTGAAGGAAGGTGACATCTTTAAGTCTCAAGCCAGCAGCAGAGCTGGTGCAAAAGGACAAAGTTGTATCTGACGCTACTTTAAAGAATTTTGGTAGTACAGCTTTTCCTTTTAGAAAATGCTGTTTTGTTAAAGGCATCTCCATAACAAACTTTCAGTGAACTCGAGACTTTCTTACCATGTTAATACATGTGCTAGCCTAATACCTGCTAGACAAAACATGTAGGCTCTTACTGCAGAAGAACCTTGGGCCAAAGGACTCTTGCAAAAGTTCTTCTCTAAAGAACGTTTTAAAGAAGAGCATCGTAAAAGAAATGCTAAAAGGTGAGTGGAAACAAAACGCTTTGCCTTGTCAGTGAGAAAGTGGAAAATTTTTATTTGAAATGTGTCCCTTTGTGACAACTCGGAAGAAAATATTCTCAGTGCTCTTGTTTCCTTGCAGCGCAAGTGCTTGCAGGATTCTCTGTGCAGCCAGTTTGCATCCTCTGCTCTGCTGTGCTCATCTCTGGTTAGTTGATTCGAGGGTGGAAGTTTTCCCTAATATCATCTCTTCTAGCTCTATTCTGAGTCAACTTGTCTGACATGTCCTGAAGAGCTTTGCTTCTTGTAGAAATGCTGACTTGACTCATGTGGTGCTCTTTGATAAGGTGGCTGTCTGCTTTTAAGTGATGCTGGCAGTATTTGAACTTTCTCTTATAGAAACCCAAAGTGCTGATGAAAAATTTTGTGACAAGCTATTGAAGTGCCAGCACTCTCAGATAGAAAGCAAAGCACAGAATAAACCTATGTGTTGTGGCTTTTACCACTTAGCTTGAGGACAGAGCATGTGAAGGCTGCACCATGTGTGTTTGTGCGTGCACAGACCTGGAAATGGAGCTGATACGCTCTCCTGTCTGCTCCGTGACCTCTCTGACTCAGAGCTAAACTAGGCCATCCCCTAGAGCTGGAGAGGCTAAGGTTAGAAATAAAATCAAAACAGGAAACCAGGCAGTTGTTTCCAGGTGGCTTACAGGGCAATTTTCTGCAGCATGAATAGCCAGGGAAAGGTTTCTGCTCAAAGAGAGAGGGCACGCGCAAGAGAGAAGAGAGCCTGGAGTTTCAGCATCTAGATGGTTTTGATTTTTGCAGTGCTTACTAGAAATGGTCTGTAGTTAACGAATTTTTGAAAAGCATGGAGGTGACTTTGTTCCTTGTTGTGCTACAGAGTTCCTGAAATGAGCCAGTTTCCAGGGATGTCCTGAGTCTCGAATGGTACCCTCATCTGTGTGTGGTTTTAGTGGCAAATGAGGGTGGCAGGACAGGCTGTTCGTATAACCTAGGGTGTGATGGTTTGTAAAGCCAGTGCTGCAGCTCCTGGGCAGAGGCAATGCTCTCCAATGTGTTGTATTCCTCCTCTCTGACTGTATTTGCTGTCTCTCTGCTTGCACAGGTCAGGCTGAAGATGCTCTACGCAGCAACCAGAGCCACAGTGAAGAAAGAGTTTGGAGGAGGGCACATAAAGGATGAGATGTTTGGAACAGTTAAGGTATGGTCACGGTTGCCTCTCACTTACCAATCTCACTCTCCTCTCTAGCCTTTTGGATTAAAGAGCTTCAGGAGCTTGCCCGAGAGTCGATGCTGAAGCCACCTGGCATGTGAGATGCTGGCATTTGGGGGGACACTACTGAGGGGTTTTTGTTGGGCTGCTTTGGTGTCCTGCAAAGCCGCTGCCACCTTTTCGTGCAGCACCCGCACGCGGGGCGAACGTGCCTGGCCAGGCGCGAGGCTGCAGGAGGTGGTGGAGAAGGGGCTGCGTTCAGCCTGCGCTCTCCAGTGACAGAGGCTGGGTTTGCGCAAGAGGTGGGAGGAAGGCTCCTAAGAGGTCCAGAGAGGTGCTTTGTGTTTAGAGGGAAAAGAAGTTCCACGCGGTGGCAGTGTCACCGCAGAAGCGAGAGCGAGTTGCTGCAGAGCCGGGGCAGTGCCGCTTATCTGACTGGCCTTTCCGATCTAGCAGTAGTTGGCTGGGGCAGGGTTGGGGTATGCGTCCAGCTCACCCTCGGGGCTGGCGTTGCGTCCAGCCACGCTCCCCTCCGGCTCTCCATGACAGGTTGGCCTCGCACCGCACAGCCATGATGACCGGTCCCTGACGCTTGCCCTCCTGCTCTGTCCCTCTGTCTGCAGGAGGACGTGTCCCTAAGCGGTTACCAAAAGCACGTGTCGTCCTGCTCCGCCCCGGCCCCGCTGACCGCAGCTGAACAAGAGCTCCAGCAGATCCGCATCAATGAGGTGGGTGTCCCGCGGGAAGAAGGGCTTCTGGGAGCCTGCTCACCACGAGGCATGTAGTGCTCTGGGACACCGGGCCGGTTCGCAGAGGCAGGATTGCCTGTGCCCAACGAGAGCTGCCGGCTGCAGAGATGGTTCGTTTGTACTGAGCTCACTGGTGCCTCTCTTCTTTAACCAGTTGTCCTGCTCTTGCTGAGGTGGACCAAGTAACCACCATGACTCATTGTCAAGTTCCCTGCATAAAGAAGAATTTTAAAAGTCTTTTTTTCATTGCTAGGACTTGAGCTCAAGTATCTGTTTGACTTGCTGTAACTGGCAGTTGGAAGATGGTTTGTCTGAGGCTGACAGCAGACATGCAGTCTCTAATCTGCTTTAGGGCAAACGCCAGAACTGACTTTGAGTTTGAGGGGAAGGCAGGAAGAACGCAGACTTCTCTCTTGATTTCAGCGTTGTACTTTCCCCCACTCTTGCTCTCTAACTATAAATGAGGGATGCGGTCCCAAGAGAGCCCTCTCTTCAGCCTAAATTTTCAGACCTATGTGCTGGGAAGTGGGGTGGGGTAGGATGAGGGACAGACAAGGCTATAACACCACAAGCAAAAAGTTAGCCTCCTAGGAGGCATTTCAGTGCAGTTGCGCTAAGCTCTGCGTGTGGCGCTGAGGAAGTATTGAGGCAGCGGCCGGGATCAGCTCGCTGGGGTAGAAAGGCTGCCTGGAAGCAGTCATATCTGGGAGGGATTTCATTTGGAAGTAGCTGGATATGGGGGAGAGCTGTCCTCTGCGGAAATGTCCTGGGCCCGGCACTGGGTCTTTGGGGCTCATGGATGGATCGGGACATGAATGTCTGGGCGACGCAAAGCCAAGCAGTCCCATTGCACAAGTTAGTGGCAGAGACGAGGCAGGAGGTCTCGACCTGCCAAAGCAGACCTCTGTACAGTGCTGCAACACAGCGCTGAGCTGCTGATGTCCCCCTCCCCTCTCTCCCCCTTGCGCTTTCCCTTCCTGCGTGCTCCCACAGGCCTTCGCCTTACAAATTAGGAAGGGCTGACAGGCTTCTGGCCTCCTTTCCTTGTTGTCCTCTCGCAACAAAGGGCAAGAACAGCTCCTACCACCCCTGAACCTGATCTCTCCAAACTGAATTTCTTTCTGCATCCCTTTGCCTTGGTGATACCTAAAATTTCCTTCATCTGCAGTCTCAGAGACTAGTGAGGATTGTTCCTTGTCCTGCAGCGTCACAGCTGAGCGTGCAGTGAGGGTAAACTCGACTGCCTGCACGATGCTGTGTCAGCCAAGTAAGCGGCTGTTGGGAGATCCCAGCAAAAGGCGGTCTGCACCATGAGGTCTCTGCATAGTTCTCCAAGCTCTGGTCCTGGAAAGGTTAGGCAGGATTTGCATGGGAGGATGCGAGGTGATGCCTGGAGAAGAGCAGGATCTGTGCTGCTGGTGCCCTGTGACAGTGGGTCTGGTCCTCCGCTGCTTTTTGTGTGCCTCCTTCTGCAGTCACACCTGTGCTGTCCCCTTGGCTGGTCAGTGTTGCAAGATTAAGTGCTTTTCTTGGCTGTGTCTTGCAGGGTAAAGCGGCCCAGGTAAGTGGTGCCTGTGGTGCTTGTTTTCTGGTTGGCCTGCTGTGTTCTGCTGTTGCCACCCTGCGCTCCTGCTGGGGGGTGGGATGGCGTTTGGGAGACGGGGCTTCTGAGTGAATGAGCTGCTGAAGCTTCTTGCTTTGGTTTTATTTTAAAGGTACGCTGTCCCCTGTGTAAGCCCATGCAGCAGCAGGGAACAGTCATTTGCATTTAGAGAGTAAAACCAGTGTGTTGCCTGTTAAAGGTGTGAACACTGCAGACGATCAGTTTGCTCAAGGCTCTCTGTGTTGGTCTGGATGCTACCCCTGCTCGTCCCTTTGTGTAGAGCAGGAAGCAGTGGGAGCTACTGCTGTGTCGCTCAGTCCCACGCTCACTTGCCTGGGATGGGGGAAAACCCTTGTGCTCTGTAGTACAGGCCGTTCAGAGTGAGTTTCTGGAGCGATGCAGAGCAGAGTGCTTTGATCAAGAGGGGCTGCGTGAGCGGTACCCAACCTGTAGCATCCTGCTTCGTACAGTGATGCCTCCTGCCTCAGCGTCAGCGTTGTTTGGGGGAAAAAACTATTGCATTTTTGCATAAATCTACCCATTGCACGCGTTTTACAGAAGTGGCGTGACATTGGCCTGTGATCTTGAGGTGCCCTAGCTCCTTGCAAAACCCTAAACCATGCTGCTCTGTGAAGGTACTTGGATTGCAAGGTGGAGTAATCGCACCTACACTGCAAGTGACGTGATGCTGGCATTTATTTTATCTGGTTTATTTGCTCTGTGGATCATAAGCACCCTTGAATCTGCAATCCTGCCTTCGCTCGCTGCCGCCACCCTGTCCGAGCCCCACGAACTGTGGCCATGGCGTCAGAGAGCTCCCGCGTGCCGCTTAGCTTAAACGCTCGTGGTTTCTTTGTTTGTGGGAAAAGATAAAGAGGGTACGCGAGCCGATAGGCCTGGGCAGCAGAGACT